GCTGGTCACAGTGATCACATAACCCATCTGCTACAGCATCTCCACTGGCTGCTAATCTGCTTCTGGGCACAATTCAAAGTCCTGGTTTTAACCTATAAAGTCTAAATGGCTTCAGTCCCAGCTATCTCAATGATCACATCTCCCTTTATAATCCTGCCTGCATGTTAAGATCATCAGGAAAGGCTTTTCTCTTGATCCCACTATCCTCACAGGTTTGTTTGGTGGGGATACAATAGAGGTCCTTCTCTGTCTCAGCACTCAAACTTTGGAACTCTCTCCCACAGGACACCAGGCTGGACACATCTTTGCTGTCCTTCTGCAAGCAGACAAAGTCCTTTATTTTCCAGCAAGCTTTCCCTTAGTGACTGGCTGCCAGAGCGGGGGTTTTAGATGGACTGTTGTGCCTTACTGCTCTGAATGTGTTTTTAGTGTTGTTTTTCTTTACCATTTTCAGTGCGGTATTTGTTTGATCCTTTTTAGTATGTGGATACTTACTTTTTAGCTTTAAATATTGTGTTTTAATGATGTAAGCCACCTTGGGTCCTTTTTAAGGAGAAAGGTAGGGTAAAAATATTTTAGGTGAATAAATGAATAAACAAATATGTATCTCCATTCAAAGCAGCAGTTTCCCACATATCCATCTCAAGTCGATGAACCTTTCACTGTTTTCATGCAGAGCTACAAACTCTCCAGTCTGCCTGGCATTAGTTGCTGGAAATAGGAAGTAGAACCAAAAGCCTTTAGAAGATGCTCAGTGACACTTCAGACCAAACTTTCAGATAATCTCAGAAAGCCTTTAAAAAGTGAGAGCACTGGGATAAAGCCTGCATTCCCCACTGGGCAAAGGCCACAGGACAGAACAACATTCCCTCTGCCCCACCTTTTATGATTCATCCTCCAGAAAAATCACAGCAACCAACCATGGTGCTATAGCAGACATCTCTCACTGCACCCATGTAAAACAACTGGCAAGACTTCTAACAGAAAATGTGCCTGCTTGCACTGAACTGATCAGAATGCAACTCAGGTCTGAGATAAGGAAATAAGCTGGATTTAGTTTTGGAGAGAATTTGGGCATTAAGTCACACAGGGGAGCTGATCCATAAGAGGTTATGTTCAGAATCAAGAAGCCTTCAGCTAAACTCTTGTCTAATGCCACTGAGAGAGGGGTGGTTGTCTCTCTCTCTCTCTAGAGGTAATCTCACCATGTGTCACCACCTGAAGAAACAGAAATACCCACTCTCCTTTCTATAGAAGATCCAATTCTAGTCCTGATGAATAAGGTCTTTAGTTACCTTGTGGCATTTAAGCTCTACTTAACTATATCCTGTGGTGGGTCATAAAACCAATTTGCTGCTAGAATGTTCACACCAAGAACATGTACAGTGGTACCTCGACTTACGAACTTAATCCGTATTGGAACGGCGTTCGTATGTCGAAAAGTTCGTAAGTCGAGGCAAAATTTCCCATAGGAATGCACTGAAAACCATTTAAACCGTTTAGGCTATTTTTCGTTCGTATGTCGAGGCGCTGTTCGCAAGTAGAGGCATTAGTTCCCATGGGAACTAATGCAAAGCCGGTTAATCCATACTCTACCACTAGGGGGAGAATTTTTTTATTATTATTTTTCTTTTGACCTAAGATAAACTTAGGTCAAAAAAAGGCAGAAAGGGTTTTTTTCGTTCATAAGTCGAGGCTCCGATCGCAAGTCGAAGCAACATTTTGCAAACAGAGCCATTCGTAACTCAAAACATTCACAAGTGGAGACGTTCGTAAGTCGAGGTACCACTGTATACAAAAAGCTCTGATACTCTAGAATGGGCTATATCAGCACTCATGTAACAATAAAAACTAGCATTACAATGCATGTATCACATTCAAGCAAAGGCTACCTGGATTGTAGAGGCTCCCTTAGAGAAAACAGAAAAGAATCAATAAAGAAAGCTAGAAAAATTGAAATGCTGCTTGCTGCTGCTGTTGTTTTTTTGTCTTATATATTGCCCCATAGTTCTAAAACACTCTCTGGCCAGTTTACAACATAGCTATGGAAAAAAAAATGGTCTGTGTATTAGTAATCTTTCCTATATTCTGAAGATTATGTAAGGAAGCAGCATATTGAGGCAGGTAATTCTCAAGGAGGTAGCTATGTTAGTCTGTTTCAGCATATATTAACAAAAGAATAAAGTCTTCTGGCACTTTTGAGACTAACATTTATTTCAATTTAACTTTGAGAAAAGATGACTGAGGGGAAATAAGATAGCACTTTTCAAATGACTGAAATATTGTCAGAGGAGAGGCAGAATCTGTTCTCAATCATACCAGAATGCAGGACATGAAATGATGGGCTCAAACTACAGGAAGTCAGATTTCAGCTGAGTATCAGGAAAAAATCCTATCTATTAGGGCAGTATGATAGTGGAACCAATTACCTTGGGAAGTGGTGAGCGCTCCATGCTGGAGGCATTCAAAAGAAAATTAGACAGCCATTTGTCAGGTAGCCTTTGGCTTGTTAGTTATAAACCACTTATCCAGATAGAGATACTGAGGCACTGAGGAAGGAAGTTAGGGATCCAGCATGTGCCTCAGCAAAAATAATTTTACAGGAGAAATCTGACATGTGGTAAATTTAAAGGCCTGTCAGGAGGAAAACTGGCTCTAAAACTAAAGAAACAGCTCAAGGTTCACTTCCATGAACGCAGAACTTCTATCTCTAAAAGCTGGATTTATGACCCTCTGCAACACTTCCTTTGTATAAGGAAGCACCAGTTTTCTGGGCAGCTGAATGTGTTATTTCCCAACACATCCTGTTCACTATCAGAAGAACTCTGCTGAATAATCAACCCAGGAAGAATGCATATAAATCCCAGAAGGGGAAGAGAACAGCTGATCTAATGGGCTAATAACTTTTATGTAGTAATAAGAGTGGAAGTGAGATCACAGGGTGCAGATCTCTGCTGCTCAAAAAGCTGCTCAAGGAGGGCACATCCGTTAAACAAGAGGTTGCAATAACATTTCCTACAGGCCAAACGTGGAAAAGGTTGCAACGCCTTCAGCCAGCCCTGTTTACACTAGTCAGAAGTATTTCATGACAAACGTTTGCCTTGTTCATATATTCGTTAACAATTCATCAGAAACTAGTTAATAAATCCCATAACCCACCCTATTTAGCTGCTCCTAGACAAGCCAACACGTTTAAGCTTCGTCTCTATATCGGGGCTTACATTCCTTTGCGTGATAAAAACCTGACAACTCACAGCACTCTTCTCCTTCCCACCCACCAAAGAGAGAAAAACATTCCAGACTGATATGATTTTAACTTGCTATATTCCGGGGGGGGGGGGATGCACAGCATTATAACCAAAAACAGAACATGTTTTTAAACATCACAGCTCTCAAAGCTGACCCTACCCCACTTTCAAATAACGTAACAGCTGGAAGCTAAAGCTTTTCCATTAAATCTCTTGATCTTGACAAGAAGCCCCCACCTCTTTACCAACCTCTTCCTCTATTTCAACAAGCAGAAAAGGACCTGAGAATTTGAAGGGGGAAACCACACTGTTGGGGAGAGGGGTTGATGCTTTTCTAAATAATAACTTCACACAAGAACAAAACGAAAACCAACAAGGGGAAGCAAATATTCTTCCCGAAGGAGGATTCTCTTCCAATATTGTAGTAAGAGCAGCCCACAAATTGAGGTTACTCAGAAACATAGCTACATAGCTAAAATCTTCAGAATAGCCACCAGAGCTATAATCTCACAGGGTTTTTCTATTTAATACATGTTGTCTACATCCTCTCCTGCATGTTAAATACTCTATTAATTTTGTCCCAAGCACACTACTGAGCAATCCCACTACCAGAAAAGCTGGTACCATACTCTTGGCTTTTTAAACTCTTCTTTAAAAGAGCTGGGGGAGGAAAACTTGCTTTCAGTGCAAAATATTCTTTACAGAGTCCCAGGTCAGCTCTTCACAAGCTTCACAGTTCTCTTGTTTCCTCGAGCGCTGGGACCCTAATTGATATCTCATGTACCACTCAGTATACACCCATAAACCCAACAGCTCTTTATTTTCTGACCTGTGAAATATCTACCCATTTGGCTTGACAGGAGTTACAAATTGCTGCCAGGAATTACAAGAACTCATCAAGGACCACATAACTTGTGGCTTCATCAAGCTGTCCCTGCTACTTGTCAATATTCATCCAAAGAATCCTGGACTATGTAGCCCCTGGATTGACCCAGAAAGAAAATAGTGGTGTTCTCCAATAACACAAAGAAGCCACTGGCAATGGTGCGGCTAAAAAATATTGTAAATAAATAAAATAAATAAATAAAATTCAGGACGACTAAGCAAGACCTATGACTTTGTAGGGATAAATTTAAAAGCTTAAAATACTGCTTTTTAATATACTTTGTATTCTTTCTCGCCTGGCATGGAAACACACTTCCCACCCCCACCTTTTACCGTCACAATTAACTCTTGTGGGGTAGGCTGGGCTGAGAGATGGGGGCTGGCCCAAGGTCACTTAGGGAGCGAAGGCTGAGTCAGGTAGTTGAATTTGGCTCCCCTTGGTGACAGCAAGACATTTAAAGGTAAGGCTTGAGGAGGGTTTGGTGTCAAAAAAAGAAAGAAAGAAAGAAAGAAAGCAGCCCAGTCGTCACCGCCACAAAACCGGATGGGCTGGAAGGAAACTGTCGACCACCAACCAAAAACAACCGGCCCGCTCGAAAGTCCTTATTTCGCCGTCTGTGAGGCCGAGTTTATCCGCCCCCAAAGCCCCAGGGAGATAAAAAAAAATCTAATCCTCCCCCCCAACCGCCGTGTTGGGGTAGGGGCGAGAAGGGGACCGCCTCCACAGCCACCGAGGCCTCAGGCATTTTAAAAAGGGAGACGACCCGCCGCCGCCACCCCGGCCTAGGCGTGTGAGGCGGAGGGCGGGAGAGGAATGGGGCTGGGCCCCAAGGGTGGGAAGAGAGGGGGGGAGGTCTCCGGGCCCACCTTTGAAGAGATAGTCGTACTCGTCGTCGCGAGAGCCCCCCATGACGAGAATGATGATGATGGCGGCAGCGGCGACCCCTCCGGCCTCTCAGCTCACAAGGAAGCAACCACCAGCGGACTCCGCCCTGCGCCTGCTTCCTCCTCAGGACCCGCCTCCGAGCCGGCCCCCCTCGCTCTCCCTCCGCCTGCTGCCCCCCCACACCGCACAAACCACTTCCGGAAACGTATGTTTCCGGTTTGGAAAAATGCTTCCGGATCATCGCGGAGCGGGGCGTCACGGGTTGCTATGCCGACACGTCCGCCTAAGAATGGGAAGTCCGTAGACTTTTCATACAGGTGTAAAAAGAAAGCAGCCGAAAGAAAGAGGAAAAACGGCGTAGAACGGTAGATGCCATTTTAAATTTAAAAATATAGTAGAATGGGTAGGTATGGGCTAATGAACTACAACTCCCAGGACTCCCTAGGAAGCAGGCGTGCTCAGGGAATTATGGGAATTGTAGTCCACCCCAACCCACAGTTCTACTACGAGAATTGGTCCAGTCGCCAGGGCACTTCCAGCCTAAAGTTGAACGCCTTTTTGGAATACACTATATGGGTTTCCACGTAAGGCGGGCGAACATCAGCGCGACACCGCGGTGACACCAGTGGCCTTCCCCCTTTTTTTTTCTATTACCGGAAGTCCTGGGTGCAGCTTGACCGCCGGTTCCTCTTTGGACCTCCCCCCCCTCGTCCAGTGGCAAACATCTGGGCGCCGGGAGTGACCTCCGCCTGGCCCCCCTTTGCCTTGTTGCCCCGGTCGATGCTAGAAGGCCGTTTAAAAGGACAGAAGCGAGGGCGCCTCCTCAAACAAGAGAGGAGTGCCTCTGAGCATGCGCTGAGACCGGAGCCCTCTCTTTCTGCTTGTCCTGACCTTTCGGGGCCGGGAGCCTCGGGGCCTCTCCCTGGACTCAGCCTTGCACCCGACCCTGTTTCCCTGAACGCCTGCCCCGGGCTGGCTCGAGCGAAGGAAGGCGGGGATGGGGAAGAGCGCTGGCAGGGGCGCGTTTCTGGGCCATCGCCTTCTTTCTGTCCTTGTTTGTCTGGCCAGGAATTACGTCGCTGCCCCTTGGACCTGTGCGTCTGAATGCCCCTTGCCTTGCGCGTCGACAGCCGTGTCTGTGCCTACAGATGTGGCTGTCGAGGGAAGGGTAGGGAGAGTCCCACGTTCACGCTCCCTGCCTCTGCCGTCTCCTTCTTGCCCCCCCATGCCAGTCCCCACATGTCCGATGTGCAACTTCTGCGCGGGAAAAGCAAGAGCCAGGTATCAGGCAGTGGAACGAAATGCCACTCTGTACATGCTCAAAAGCCTCGCCGGTTCTCCTTTTCCGCAAGCGAAGCCTAGGCGCTGCAAGCAGTTTCCGGCGCTGCCCCCCCCCTCGTAGCCTGTTTTATACCCGCCGGGCGAGGGGTTCGCGTCTGGAGGCGCCTCTCCTGCAGCCCCCTCGTGTCTCACCGCCTCATCTGTTACCCTTCCGTCAACCATGGAAGGGAAGCCTCCCAAAGCGCATTTCCACGTACTGTTAGCTCCGAGGTCGGAAGGGAACGTAGAAGTCTTAGTGCAATACATCTAGGGACAGGAAGGTGGTGCCAAGAGAATGAGAAAGTGAAGCGAACAAGGAGGATTTAGGAGAACTGCTGCACAACTGCTTCCGTGGAGGTTCCATGGTGTAATGGTTAGCACTCTGGACTCTGAATCCAGCGATCCGAGTTCAAATCTCGGTGGAACCTTACTAATCTGCGAGGATTTTTTTCCCTCCCTGCTAAACATAAAGGACTAATTTAATTTTGAACACTAGGGTTTCCGAGGGTTCTGAACACTTGGAAAAGTCACGTTCAGTCACACACCTTCCAAAATAACTAAAAAATTTAAGCGATTGTGTCTGATGTATTTGCTGTAATGAATTTTGCTACATGTGCTAAAATACCACTGAGATAGACTTATTATTTATAATATTTATATTATTTATTTATTTATATTTT